TGAGGTTGGGGTTAATGGGAAAGAAATCAGGAAATAATGCTTCTATAATAGAAAATGATATTGTTAATATCACTCTGAGCTTTATTTATCTCTGTGTAGATGATAATGTATGTCACAACAGAAAGAAACTAAAAAGTCTGTAGTTCAGTCATTTCATACAGAATAATAACAATGGGCAATATATAATTTTGCAGGTAGCTCCTTCTATTGAGAGTGATTTATGGTTGGTGTTCTGATGTCCTCGCTGGTTTTTTTTTCTCTCCATTATTTGCATTTTTTAATCTGTGAGCTGCCCCAGAGTTTTGTTGATTCAAGAGATATCAAAAATTGATTAAATAAACAATTGGTTTATGGCTTCATTATGGAGTTAAACATTATCTTCAATAGTGGAACCAAAGTGAGCTTCTGGCAAAGAAATTGTTTAAGGATTTGGGCACATAGACAAATAACTTAGATATAGGCTTAGTTGCTCCTGTGCTTGGTGACAGTAAAAAAACACCTCCAAATTATGTTGTAAGCAATTTTAGATCCCCTTTCTAATTGGAAATAGAGTCTATGACAGAAAGTGGAACAAGCTCTTGGCCTATCTTGCCAACAAGTTGGGTCAGCTTTCACTGTCAGCACTTGAGCTAACAACTGTGTCACAATATCTCACTGCAGCATGCCACATTCGTGCAAGCTGGGAGCAATGCACTATGGCTGGTTTTCAGTCCAATTTCTTTCCTCTTCTGTTTTTGAGACTCATTCAAATTAGCACTTAGCACACAGGATACCTAAATGTATTGTGCAAGAATTTAAAAACTGTATTGAAGTCTGTTCGGTGCAGAATAATGCAAAGAATGTCTACACCCAGCTTGGTTTTTGCTATGATGCATCTGATATGGTATTGTCAGAAGCTCTATTATTTAAGGGAAATTAAAACAGCTGTATGTTACACTGAAGTACTCACTATTCCTTTCACAGACAGAGCAAACTAGATTAGTACTTGACCATTTAAATTATTGAAACAGCCAGATTTAATAACCTGGACGATGTTCTCTTAAACTGGACATATTGCTAATTAGTAATTAACTAATATCATAATTCTTTGATCATTGATCCTGAATTCAAGAAATATAAATAATACAAATCAATAAATACAATAGATAGGTGATGATAGATAGATAGATAGATAGATAGATAGATAGATAGATAGATAGATAGATAGATAGATAGATGATAGAAAGAGAGAAAGACAGACAGACAGACAGACAGACAGTTTTGTTCACATGAACATTTTCTTCTCAGAGAAGATGGATCGTACATTTATTAAAAGTAATTGTAACTGGAAGGCTGCATTGATTATAGCAGTAGATGACTTACTGATCATCAGCCTTAAATAAACAAATTACTGGCTTTAATTATGTATCATTTCATGAATATGGAAGACAGTCTACTTCGTATATGAAAAACTTGTTCTAGAATATACTGTAATTCTGAAATTGAAAAATACAAATAATTTGCTCAATAATTTGCTAACTATATCCTGCCAGTATTTTTAATTTTTCCATTTCACAAACTAAAATGTGCAATTAATGCTGATTTTTGAAGGAGTTTAGACCTGACCAGGGGATTGGAAAAGAATGAATTTTTAGACAATAATTTTTAGGGAAAAAATATTCAGACCTGAGGAAGAAGTAAGCATAAGAAAGTAACTCAACCCTAGCGTGATTCTATTTAGTATAAGAAAGAGGGACAGAGAGAATTTTTTTTATCAGGCTTTCACAATTCTGTTATTTGCGTTATTTTTGCAATCCCCGTTATGCATGTTTCTTGATCTCGTGAGGAGCTGTCAACATTTGAGTGACTGACCAGACTTAATTAATTCTCAAGTCATGTAAGTCCATTAAGTTTGTGTGGCTATTTCTATGTCCATTTTATTATATTGCTAACTTAATATCATAATCAAAATTATTTGATTTATTTCATTGTAATCAGGTATGTTCTACTAGATGTTGCATTAATCATTGAGCCCTGAATTCATACATATAATATGGGAAATGCAGAACTTAAGAACATGATCATTTCAGCTCTACAGAAATGTGAATTCTTGCTGAAACTAACAGTTTCAACTATTTTGAGCTGAACTTGAAATTAGTTGCTGAACAATTAACTTTTAGGCACATATAAATCAACTGAAAGCAAGGGTTGCATACAAAATGGCAAGTTTGTATATATACCCCATTCTGTGCATGACATTGGATAGTTATTTATAAACTCAACTAATGAAAGATGTTTATTCTAGTTTAATTACACTTTAAATTTTCTCAGTTATTTTGGGTACATTAAAGTTGTGTTATCTTACACTAATGAGTATCTAAATATGCCCATGAAATTAAAATATTTTTCCTGTTCAGTGAAAAAAGACTAACATTATCTGAATATCCGAAGCATAATATCTGAGAATTCTGCCATTACCTATGGTAATTTGGTCTAAATTCAGGATCTTTTTTCCATAATAGGTATTTGAATTTTCTCATTTAAAGAATCCACTCAAGGAATACAGTCCAGGCAGCATATTAAAATTCAAACACTTTCTCATCAATGTCTTTTTGAAATGTCTGGTAGAAAGTAAGTATCAGTGGTGTAAATGGGACTTATTGTGGGTCAGAAGAGCATTGCAGGCTAAATTATTTGAAGCCCAAGTACGTCAATAATGGCTGTTGCATATATGAGAAATCACATGGAAGTTATTAATACATATTAAGTGGTGGAAGAGGTAGATGAAATATTGTTTAAATTTGAAACATGACTTGCAAATATGTATTAACTGCAAAAAATGAAAGAAATTTTAGCAATGTGATATTTAATTTGAAATTTAAAAAGTTCCTTCTGCCCTCAGGATGCCACTCTAAAGCATTCCATGTCCAATCAACTACACACAAAGATAGTTTCTTCTGCAATGCCATCACTCTGTTAAACATATAATTCCCACAGAACTGCCTTATGCCTAAAGATATCTAACCATGTAACAGGACTGTATTACAATTATCCCTCTCATCTTTCCTATTGCTTTCTCCTGTTGGTATCTTATGACTATCACTTTCTTGGTTGTGTCATATGATTTATTTGTATCTTATTGTTTATGATTTATCCCTGTGTTGCTTGTATGTATACTGAGAATTTATGAACCGGAGACAAATTCCTTGTGTGTCCAATCACACTTGGCCAATAAAAGATATTTTATTTTGTTCTGTTCTTTAAAAAAGCTGAGTCCAAATATAAAAATAAATTTACAACATTTTCTATCGTCTAGCCATCAAAATGATGCCAAGCAAGTTATCTGGAGAAAAAAGTTTAAACATGAACTTCAAAATTAAATTTGAAGACAGATGGCTGTGTAAAATCTGAGACATTGTAACTGTTGTGAAGTTTAAGACACCTATACAGAACATATTTAACTGTGTGCTTATCATATAAATTAAGCCAAAAAAGAGATGTAGAATCTGTCTTAGATCTATTCCCGTGTATAATTCAGTCTATCCTTACTTATCAAGTTGCTGCTTCATTTTTTCCAACTGCAAATTGTAAACATACTGAATCACTTCAAATCTTGCCATTAAAATCGATGGGCCTCAACTTGTGATCAGAACTGGATCCAAAGACATCAGTAAAGTCTCTCCCTAATGGTTTCCAGTTGTGCAGGATCCCACTCCATTGTAATCATCGCTGATGGCTGTGGTTTACCTGAGTCTGTAATCCAACACTTCTGAAATATGCCAAGACTGAAGTTCTACCCAGGGTCATTTGTAGCAATGTTTTAAGATACTATAAACATATGTCCCAGGGGGAATATGTTAGCCAATATAGGAAGAAAGCATAGGGGTTTTTTTCTTCATCATCATCCACATTCAGTTTCACAACTAAACCACAGACAATCCCAAAAGCAACAACATAGAAACTGAAATATAGATTATTAATAGAATCTACTTACTCAAGTACTAAATCATACTCTGGTGATTGTTTATCCATACCTATGAAAAGCTTCACAAACTTCAGCTCATTTAAGGGCATTAATATTATGTGGTTAATCTTTGGTGAGATTCACAGCCTTTGGGGCTGGTTGGTAGCTCAACAGCTCAGAGTCCTAACCAAGGACCTAGGAACTGTTAAGGTAACATCGGAGGATATAAGCTGTCCCAAATAGGATGGTTTTTTGTAGAATCAGAATGTTCAAGTCCGATAAATTTAGAATTTCTAAATAGCAAGGTAGCCCTTTAGGTATTGCTCCAAGGGCTCCAATTACAATCGGGACAACACATGATTTCTTTTTCGCTCAAATTGTTGTTGTTGTTGTTGTTTATTGTCAATGCACAACATATGTACAATGAGATTGGTTATCATAATGCTCAGGGTACCATTTTATAAACAGCTCTCATTGGTATATGAGAAGCCTATCCCCAAACTGGATAATGAGAAACTCCGATAGACAATATCTGTTCTTTGCTTGCCTTCCATCCCAAATCCAATCAGCCTTGGCCCAGATCTCCTCAAATATTAAGCAGAGATTGTAGAATGAAGCAAATATACCAGGTGAACTCCTGCAACATTAAATAACATTATATCTGACAATCAACATGCCATTTAGTCTCTTGTGCATAAATCTCAATCAGAAATTGTCTAATGAATTTCTCAGTAAAAATATATGTACATACACAGGGAGAGAGGGAAGGAGGGGGGAGAGAAGGAGAGAGAGAGAAAGAGAGAGGGAGGGAGGGAAGGAAGGAAGGAGAGAGAGAGAGAGAGATCTTTCATAGGTCTGGGGAGTATGGATATATTCAGACAAATACAATACACAAAAATCAGTAGTAGTTCTACAAATAGGCATCAAGTACAGATTCACCTTAATATTTAATTCACCATTTGACTGAAGGACAGAAATTAAACATACAGACATACAGACATACACAAACACACACACTCAAAGGTACATGCACATTTATACACATAAACATACATACCCTCCTGTTCAGTTCTCGTCATCTCCTCCAGTTTCTTTTGTTTCAAGGTGTCCACCACATCGGCAAGACTTCCTTTGCGGCGTTCTGGAGTTCCAAAATTAACACTGGTCATTAGCTCATTGCGATCACGACCACTTTCTTCGGGCTTATGTGGTGAGGTAGAAGTATTTCGGAAGGAATATAAGGAACATAACTTATTATTTTCTGACTCCTGTAAAGAAATAAGAGAATAATATAATATTTAATACATTATAACAGGATGTCTATTATAACTCAAATGCAATTGAATAATTTGAAATATTATACTGAACTAAACAAATTTTTAATTACAGTTTTATTTTGGCTGTTGATAAAAAGAACTTTAATTCTGCAGTATGTGTTTGACTAGCCCTTGAGGAAGAAAAATATCATCTCTTTTTCATCTGAGTCTTAGCCTGTAAGAGTCCAAAGGCTCCAAAAGCTATATATTAAGATTCAAGGGAACTAGGAAGTCCTTGAACTAGAGAAAGTTTTTGACTCAGAATAAAGTTGTTATGTATATTGAAATGATGAGCTAATTACCTGAGCTTAAAACTTCCAACATGTTATCTCTATCAACTCTTCCACAGCCTGATTAATTGGTGAAACACCTCCTCCCCCAAATACACAGAGACTCCATTTTACAATATGATTTATAGACACATGGTCTGAGGCATGGAATGAAGAACACGTTAGCAATAATTCTATTTAATCCTTCTCTTAGTCAGAAGCTCAAAATCTTCAAAATTTCTCAAGCTTTGCCTGTAAGCTAGCTTTCTTTGCTAGAGCTTTAAAAAATCAATGATTTGGAAGCTTTTGTATAATTCCAACTGTGGCCATCTAGCACTGAATGTGTTCAGATAAATATATGAATTATTACTAATGAAAATTCAGGTCTATGGCATATTTCAGTAAATTCATTCCAGCAGCACATTAAATCATATGTTGTAGAACTCAAAGAGATAGTATAGTATAGTATGGTATGGTATAGTATGGTATGGTATGGTATAGTTATAGTTATAGTTTTATAGTGATAGTGATAGTGATAGTGATAGTTGTTATAGTTATAGTTTTATAGTTATAGTTAGTTATAGTTGTTATAGTATTTAAAACAGAATTTAAAACCTAAGTTTCTTCTGAAACTTGACTATCCAAATAGGACTTCAAACATTGTGACCAACACTATTAAATGAAATAATGGCAAACAGGTTATAAAAGTAAACTTCATTTTTATTTTTCAGTAATAGAGGTTCATCACTGCTGATGGAAGACAGCACTTTCTTTAAGATACAGGCACCATTTTTTCATATATTTAAGACACCATGGTAAAAACTCATGATAAATTTCAAAAACCTAAAAATAATGTTTATTTTTCAAAACATGTAACAGTTTCTTAGGAATTAAAAAAAGACTTAATAGAGAATATAAGTACTCAGGACTCAATTTTTCTTAAAACATATAAAGATAAATATGCACTGAGATTGGAGTGAGTTAGTTATTTCTACTTCAGCATAGCTAATCACAGTACTCCCCAGCTCTCAAAATACTTAAAATTTAAACCTGATTTAGTGGTATCTCAATGTTATCTCCCAGCTAAAAAGATAAATGAATTCATGCAGCTACTAGTTTCATTGTGTCATGGCTCTGCAAGAAATAATTATACCATTTAGGTTTAAGTATTTCATTTAATCTATATGTCATAGGGATTTTCAAACTTTACAGCACAAAAACTGCCCACCGAGCGCTTGCACAGGTAAAAAGAGAAGCAAAGCTTGGAAGTAGTTTTGATGTTACATATTTTGCCCAGACAAAGTAAAACATGTGTCAAAACTAACTCCATTTTGTCTGTAAATGACAGAGAAAAACCTTTTTAACATCACTCATCCTTGTTTGGAAGGCAGATCAGATTTAAAACAAATGCTACAACTTTCTCTGAAATGCTACTGGCACTCTCTTGATTTTTGACCCACAGTCTGAGAACAGTCTACAGTGACTGTTTTCTAATTTTGCCTGTCAAAAGCCATCTGGGAAGGTTACAAACGGTGATCAGCTGAATCCAGTACAGCACAACTGTCATATATTCATGCCAGTTATCAAGCACTCAAGCTTTGATCATGTGACCTTAGGGATGTTGCAACAATCGTAAGTATGAAAAATGCTCATAAGTCACTTTTTTCATTGCTGTTTTAACTTCGAGTGATGACTAAATGAATGGTTGTAAGTCAAGAATTGGACTATGATGGGACTACAGCTTCTTATTCATGCCAGTGATTCCAAGGATCAAAATAATCCTTGACTTCTGCTTACTACTATTTAAAAAGATGTTAGATGTATCATATGCACCAAAGACAAATTCCTTGTGTGTCCAATCACACTTGGCCAATGAAGAATTCTATTCTCTTTTATTAACAGAATTAAAGCATCAAAATGCACACAAAGGAGCAGATTTAAAATAAATCTAATCTCTACTGAAGGTATTCCTATAATAGTAAGATCCCAATCATCATATTTCCCTCACAAAGCAAGGGTTAGTAGTTCAAAACCAAGTAGAAACAATTTTAATTGTTTTTAAACTTGTTTAATTCTTATTTTTCTTTTCCACTGAGCATTTCCACTCAGCAAAAAAACCCAAAAAACTTGTCCACCAGTGGACCATTGAAATGCTGGCCCTTATTTATTTACTTACTTACTTAGTTGTCCAGCCCTAGGTAAATCCATTTGGTTCAGGAGCTGGGGTGAAACCCTCCTACCTCAAGTGACAGCAAGAATGGTGAAACGGTCCACTGGCAAACTGGTTAAAAAAAAGCAGTAAAGTGGGCAGCTCAGTAAAAGAAAAATGTGTTCTAAAAATGTTTCTGCCCCATTTCAAACTCTTTAAAACATGATAAACAGTAAGCTGCAGTAGCTGCAGTGGAAATGGAAGGTTGAACCTAATGAGCCATGGTGGTGCAGTGGTTAAACGCAGTACTGCAGGTTACTTCTACTGATTACCAGCTTGCCTGCAATTTTGCAGTTTGAATCTCACCAGGCTCAAGGTTGACTCAGCCTTTCATCCTTCCAAAGTGGCTAAAATGAGGACCCAGATTGTTGCGGGCAATATTTTGTAAACCTCTTACAGAGGGTTGTGAAACACTGTGAAGTGGTATATAAGTCTAAGGGCTATTGCTCCTTCTAAGAAAGAAAGTAACTTGATTAACAATAAATGTGCCTGAATGTTAATGTGCCCATCATGTTGACCAATGTTTCAAATCCTTATAACTTTAAGATTTGTGAACTTCAAACCCCAGAATTCACCAGCCAGGATGCAGGCTAGGAAATTCTTCAAATCTGCACATTTTAAAGTTGTCAAGATTGAGAAATATCAATTAAGGCCATTTGATATAATACAGTATTGCTATTGAGAGCATGATCAGTGTTCGTAGAACTTTAAAATCATAAATGTCTTAAAATATACTTCCAGATATAATCTTGGATGAAGTTTACATTTTGTGAATGCTAAGATTCTAATGTGATTTGCTGTTTTTTATTTAGTAATTTTTTTCTTAATTTTTAATTTTCTTAATTTTTAACATTTTCCTAAGTTTAATTTTCTTAATTTTGTGATGATGTTTGGCTATAAACAAATCAACTGAATAATTCTCCAAATTGGCCAAGACTCTAGCCCAGTACAGTCAATCTTTAACCATCCTAGGCATGGTATAGTAAATTGATGCGAGATTTATTCCATTTCATATACATACACTGTTGTAAGAAATTATGTGTGAATATATATTTCCTTTATATGTTTATTATTAGATTTTATTGCCTATGTCCTTAACCATACAGCATGACTATTGTATTTTATAATAACATGGCCTTCACATGGGAGGCAACTTGAAAGAATGAATTATTTCTGCTGTAGGGCATGAATGAATAGAAAGAGAAGTCTTTATAATATAGTGGTTAGAAAGGCTTTTTTTCAATTTTGATATTATTCTTTAGGAAACATTAATTGAACTGAAGTTGATTGATCATCAAATATTCTTGAAAGTCCTTCATCATTTTTGGCAAAAAAAAAAGAAAGAAAAAAATTTGTAAAGAAATGACTCACAAGTGTGTGTGTGTATGGGCTGCTGATGGTGAGTGAGACCTCGCCGAAACGTTGCCAAGACAATCTCAATCTTACACAGGAAAAGACCCGAATACAACAAGACCAGCATACCTACACCCATGAAAATCTACGATATATATCGTAGGCCTAATGGCTAAGATGTCTGCCTAGTATGTAATATAGCCCAGGTTCAAATCCCAGTAAGGGTATGGCTAGCTGATGAGAGCTAAATAGCTTGAAATAGATCTATACTAGTCTCCCTTTATTTATTTATCAGCACAAATACAAGTACAAATACAAATACAAATACAAATGCATATGCATATGCATACATACATACATACATACATACATACATACATACATACATACATACATACATACATACATACANTCCAGGAGCAGCTGGAGCATCGCACAGATGCTAGTACGCATGCGTGCACTGCGTGCGTGCACGAGGACGCCGCCGGCCACGTTCCAACCGAACCGGTTGGAACGGTGCGAGAAACCCACCCCTGATCTGAAGTCATAATGTCTAAAACATACTAGGAATTGTAGCCTGTTAATAACCATAGTTAGAGGCTGCTTCTGTATCTTTAAAGAAAATTCTCAAGTATTTTTGTTGTGGAAGTATCACAAACTCTCAACAGAACTGCATGCTAATTATCATAATTCCAATATGCTTTAAAATATAGTCTTCCAACAAAAACAAACTACACTCCAGAATTATTTTCTGCATTCAGTTAAAACAAATCAAATCAATTTAAATTTTATTTTAATAGCAGGTTGATTACAAATGTTTCAACTTTCTCAGACTCAAATCATAATCTGCCACCTACAGGCTAAAATTAAAGATTCCAGAAATCCAGAACTTCCATCAAAACAGTCACCCCAGTGCTTAAGTTATGCTGAAATAAAGATAACCACCCCTCCTGCTGTCCTAGCATCTGCTAAAATTAGGGGAAGTTTTGTTTTCCAGTGCAGTAATTACACTTAACTAGCACACCTCCTAATAAACAAATAAGTAGTTTTCCCCACAACCATCTAGCTGCCATCTTTCAGCATAACCAATTTCACAGAAATATTTTCCATCAGTCAGACTTGAACAACCAAGCATATCTAGCTTTCTTAGATAAGGAGGAGGCAAAATGAGTTCTGCAAAGAGAAGATACTCCATATATTTCATTTCATTTTCAATGTGCTTCCTGCTATTTTCTAGAATCTAGCATATCTTGAATTTGAAGAACCTTACTTACTTTATACAAGAAATATGTGCTTTCTGCAAATTCTGGCCGTAAGGGATGCTGAGCCCAATGTACCCGGAAGTCTGTTGTAAATGCCTGAACAAGACAAGTGGAAAGGTTAAAATACTGAATTATTCTTCTTTGAAGGAATAACTTCTAGCATACTGGGATTCCGGCAAAAAATTAATTAAAAATTAAAAATGTCCCCAAATGTATATATTGTCCTGTAAAGAAAAAGAAATCTTCTGAAACTTAGCTTATCTTTTAAACCTCTAACCACTAAATATCTAAATTTATTTATTTATTTATTTATTTATTTATTTATTACACTTATATACCGCTTCATAGGGCTTTCAGCCCTATCTA